CCTAATAACTTAACCTTCTATGCTATAATATAGCCAGGTCAAAAGTACCCGTTCGCGAAAGGGTTAATCATTGCTCCACCAACGACTAGATGCAGGAAATGTGCTAGGCATGCCATATGCTCGACATGTAATAGTTCACCAGCAGCAACCATGTTTGTGCCCCCATCTCTCAAAAACCGAACACAGTAGAGCTTAGACAACTCCCACTCCTCCAGAATTTGTTCAATCGCGTCAGCAATGGCATTTCCATCAGGGATACCGGCCAGCTCTTTAACTTCCAAAGTCCAATTCTGAGGGAAAAATTCATCGTCCACGTAATGAATTGTCAGCGAATTGTAGCTTTTCGTGTTTCGGGAAGCCCATATATCACACGTCATTGAGAAATACCAACAACCCTTCACAATGGCCTGCCGTACTCGTTTTCGATACTCCCCAGCTAAAGCCACCGTATGTTGCGCAATCTTAGTTCGCTCAGGAGGCCTCATTTTGATTCCACAAATATCTTCGGTAATGTACCGAATAAATACGACAAATCCACCATGTTCCACAATCATCATCTGCCGAAAGTGCCGTGCGATCCACTCAGCAAGAAGAAGATTCACGCTCTTCTGTTGCTCCGCTGATATGGTACGCAGCTTCTGCCTTTTTCCATTAGAAAAGGTGTGAAATGGAACTTGGGCTGCCCTCTGATTTCGTTGCTCCGCTTTGGTGTTGTACGCCTCCAGCTCTTCCGAATGGTACATTTCCATATGCAGCGGCAACTTCGACTGACCAACACAAACTTAACTTTTGCACTGCAAAGTAGACAATACGCGAGCTCGGCATGATCGTTGTTCAGATCATTACGCTCAATGTGTCTGTACGCCTCGCTTCGGATGAGCCGAGCGAAATGCCAAGCATCTCTCCTCTTCTGACGCTTCATAATAAACAGCACTAACCCTGATTCACGTTCAGCACGCTGTTGCAGTGCCTGAACGTCAATGACAGTACTCTAGTTTTCGAGAACCGGAGGGCGGATGCATGGGCGCTGGGGTTGCTGCGGCGACTGGTATTGCCAGAGTTGTTCCTGTAGTTGATGTTGCCAGAGCGGCGCCTGTGACTGCTGGTGTTGCCAGAATTGCTGTGGCGGCTGGGTGAGCTGCTCCTGCCTCTGTGGTTCGTGTGCTTACCAGAGCTACTGTGGCTGCGATTGCAGCGAGAGCTGTTGTTACGACTGGTGCGATCGTCGAGGAAACGACCTCGATGGTTGAGCCGGGACTGAAGCTGGCAGTGCAGGATGCACTTCGTCATCGTCGAAAAGCACGCGTCAAGGTGCTGGCGGACGGTGCAGACGTGGTGTGTGGTGGCCGCGCGAGTGCTGCTGTGCTTCCATAATGGAAAATGATCCTCAGTATGATCAAAACACTTGAGCTTAAATTAACGCTGATGTATCAATGAGGGGGTAGAAGGTGGTTGAAGTAGGTTTGGAGGGATTCAGATACCTTTCAGTGGTACCTCCGGATGCAGACGTAACGGGAGGTTCACAAAGGTTCAGCACCTGAACCTTCACATCTCTAGTGATCAGTGGTCCATCGAGCGTACTTAGATATCAACTGTTCTGATTCACCTTAATCCAAAATTTTCACTAAGCACTTCGCTCACTTAATAGCACACTGATACCGATGCAAGGACAGACGTCGAGGCGACGGGTATATCCTTCGCACTTCAATGTCTTGCCGTTTTTAGATAGCAACGCTGACATTCGGCAGAACCAGTATCTTGTCTTCGGAGACTCGGCGTATCCCAAAAACAACGTCATGATGACGACGTTCCGGGGGCGAAACTTATCACCGTTGTCGTCTGCATTCAACAAGCGTATGCCAAAAGTACAGGCGTCTGTTGAGTCGGGGGGGGGGGGGGTATGCTCAAGTTACACAAAATTTGGCTTTTCTCGGCTGAGAACGACAACTGCAAATTGAGGCGATGGCTGATAGCTGCTTTTTTTTCTACGAGTGCCTGACCTGTCACTGATGACGGAATCAGATCTCAGTTTTTTTCTCCTAGTCAATTTAAAGGTTTTTTTTGGTACTAATACTACTATA